ACGGTGCAAGGTCTACAATCAGCAGTTTAGAGGACTACTTCTGATTTCTTTGCCTATTTTAAACCATTCTCGAGTAATTTTCCTAGTTTATCATCTAGAATTAGAAGAATGGTGAGATGTTTCATTTTTGTGAAGAGGGTGCTTTAGTAATTAAAAGTAAAATAATAAACTAAGAAAGGAACATACTTGTAATTCTCAAATGACTACTTTAGTAGCAATCACTAAAAAAAATAGTCTTTTTGTAGAAATAGTTTAAGAGCATTAGGTTAGAAATAGCCTTACCTTGAACAACAAGGACTCCCATGTCTAGTAACTTAATTAGTTGCGGTAACATGTGCAAACAATCAGAATAGACTTAATTAGACTAAACGAGATCCATCAAACAACCTAGTTAGATTTTGATGCCCTATTAATGCCATTTTGAAGTTCTGAAGGCCCTCTGATATCTCTCAGTTCCCTTAAATTCGAAGAACTCTCTTCTAGTGTGTAAAAATGATGATAGCCTTGGGAGGATTGAGGGCCAAGCTATGCAATCTGTATAGGAACTCATGTGTCATTGAAAGGAGTGAATTTATTACTGACGAACAAAGTATTGGAGCTACCCATAGTGGCTAGTTGTGATATCATTTGAAAGAATTCACTCATTTTTGATGGGGCGTAGGTGGCTATAATGACATTGATGTCATGTGAGAGATGAACCCTTCTAGAAAATAGTGTTAAGAAGTACTGGAGGCTCAAAGCGCCTTGATATGGTCACCAATCTTGAATCTTAGAAGTAGGATTAATGTTCATTTTTGGGAGCCAAGAGTATTTGCATGGGATTTTAGCTTTCCAACAATTTGATATGACATACAATTTATAATGTGGCTTCTTAAAGTTATTATGCAGAATGAGTTCAAAATGATCACAAATGCTAACATAATCACTCTCGTTTTATCCTTAAATTCTACAAGGAACATCTACTTTAGCTTTATTATCTTCTATATGCATAGAAATTTGCTTTCTAAGATAACTTAACATTTATGAAAATGTGCATAATACAATGTAATAGACGTGGAAAATGATGGCTTCTTTGAGTAGGGTTATGAAGCCTATAGTTTGAATAGGGACTAGCTCTGAACCTTGCTAAATGATGGAGGTTCGAGAGCAAACATACCATTCCATATGGTCTTCAGGTCTTCAGGTAGTATAATGAATCTATAATACGGTCTTGAAAATTTTTAATTCATGATGATGACTTTATCTTTAAGGAATGGAAAATAATGAGTTAGTAGATAAAAACTATGATATGTTTCCCTCAGGGTAAACAGTACATTGGCAACTCTAAAGTCCAAGAAATCACAAAGACAACAAAAAGAATGTCCAGTGACTGGTAATCACGATCCATCTTTCGCTCTAGTGTTCTTTCAAAGAGGCGGTAAATCAGTAAATAACATAAAGTGATATTTCTTAGTCTGGGATGTAACTTTACAGGTAGTTCAGCAACTTTGGTACAGTTGTGATACACATTCAACTTCAGGATTATGTTTTGTCTCTAGGAAGCTAGTAGCTACATCAGGATTGGGCTGCTTAGAAATAGTCTTAGACTCAGGGCTTAATGTTATATTCTATCTCTGGTTCAATTTGGGGTCTGACTCATTTATGAACAATAGTTTAAGATTGAGCTCAGCTTCAAGTTTGATTCATGGTGACTTTAGTTTAAGACTCGGGCCCTTCATGTTCTGATGGGGACATCGGTTGGAAAGTCTACCGTCGACGTGGTCGTAGATCGACGGCCACGATCTGCCCGATGTATTTCTGATTATTAGATTGGTCATTTTATTTGATGTATTTTTATTTCTGCACTTTTCCCCTTTTTCCTTTGCTTGAGGATTGAGTCTGTGTGAGCCCCCGAGGGTTTTTGTCTTTTATTTTCATGACATTTGTAATGGGCTATATATAGCCTCTTTCTTGTATTTTCATGTTTAATGAATGATATTACAATTTCTTCTTACATGAGTCTTCTTGGAGCTTTCTTTGTAGAAGCTTGAGAGAGAGAGAGGTTATAACTAGGTGGAGCCTAGGAGAGGCCACCCGTCGTTCACCCAACAACCACCACCGGTGGTTCTTGGTTTTCCCCACCTTCCCTCTACGTTTACCTCCGTTTCCACCACAGGTTATTCCTCCACTACAAATCGTCGCCTCCTAACTTACCTCCCAAATTTTCCCCCTCCTCCAAGAAACCCGTCAGCTTCCCCCTCATCCGCCCGGCCACCATTTGGCGCCGGCCTATCCGCCACCACCACCCTCCCGTCCACCTTTTTCCGGCCCGTCTCGTCCTTCCTACGAATTTTCAAATTTTGAAAATTCATTGTGGAAGTTTCCATATTTGCCCGACGCCAAATAGGAAAGTTTCAATGACGTGTCAAATTCAAATTTGAATTTGGGCGGATTTGAAATTTTCATCATTAATTCATCGGAGCGGATTAGGAAACGCATAATTGTTTTTCCCTAACCCTCTCCCTCTCTCTATGCCGCCGGCCCCATTAATGGGCCTCTCTCCTTTAATGCCCCATTAAGGGTGTTAATGCATGATCTTTGAAATTCAAAATTCAAGATTTTTCCCTCCAATTTTAATTAAATCTGAAATATAATTTCAGATTTGGGATTCACTCAAATCACACTCCACCTAACCTAGCCTCCCTAACCTAGCCGCCTCTCCCCCTCTCTCACAACCGCCGGCCAACCTCTCCCCCACCCCCTCTCTTTCTACCCTCCTCTCAAGGCATAGCTCCTACTTGGATTGGAGATGGAAGATAAATCCGGCACGTGAGTTAACCTTGCTCATCACGACGTTTCTTCGAGAAGGACTCACCTAGCCTTGGACGGAACAATCATTGGAAGATACGTGGGATTTCTACGACGTCTCTCCGTGAAGGTGATTCTTTCTCCTTCTTGATTCTTTACTTTTGAATTCCGAATTCTTCATGAGAATTTGTTCAAAGCGAGAGATTGTGTCCCTTTATTGCCATCCACTAGTATTCGTAGGATTTGTTACTTCTTTGCTTTAGATCTCGTTGTTAAACAAGGGTTAAGTTGGAAACTACTTCGCATGCAACGTTTTAGTTTTCCTATGTGTTTTGATCTAGCTTAGTCTCTTGTGTAGTTTAACCTAAGCGAAAGTAACTGCTTAATTGTTTTACGTTGTTGTTTTAATCGCTTTAACGAGAATCTAAAGTTGCTCTTAAAATCTTTGTGCAAATCTCCAATTGCGCATATAGTTCTACATCATGTTCTTTATACCATTCTCTGAGATAGTCGCTATTTTGTGAAATCCTCCAATGGTTGTTTGGATGGATATATAGGAATCTATGGGAAATGAAATGAAGCAGGCAGATATGCTTAATGAAATACAACTAATTATTATATTGTTCTATATGTAATACATAGGCAAATATTTTGAATGAATGCACCAAAAATAATATTCTCCTATGCAGTACAATATTTTAACTACAAGCTAACTAAGAAATGAATTGCTTAGTGGCCGTTTGGAATCAAATTTTTTTTTGTTAAAAATTTAATTTTTTTTATTTTGCTTATGTTTAGGGCCTTAAATTTTTTTTTTTTTTGTTTATTTCTGGGATGTTGGTGGTCGGCAATTATTTTAACTACAAGCTAACTAAGAAATGAATTGCTTAGTGGCCGTTTGGAATCATTTTTTTTTTTGTTAAAAATTTTAATTTTTTTTATTTTGCTTATGTTTAGGGCCTTAAAAATATATTTTTTTTTTTGTTTATTTATGGGATGTTGGTGGTCGGCAATTAATGGTGGCTATGGCTGTTGGTGATAGTCATTTTTAAATATCTCAAAATATTTAAAAGTTGTTTTGATTGTTTTTTAAAAATAAAAATAACTTGATTTAATTTTAAAAATAAAAATAGTTAAAAACACATTTAAAAAACTTATTAAAAATAAATCTTATCCCAAGTAGGCTTTTATAAAATCAAAATGCACATGTAAGTAGTGTTTTTAAACAGGACCGGACCTGACCCGCCGGTTCGATCGTGAACTGGTATAGTTGCAGAGATGAGTATGGTTGAAGTGGAATTCAGGTTGGATGGTTGAAGTGAAGGAATGTTTCAGACTTGTTATGTGATAGAAAAATCCCTCTCAAATTTAAGGGAAAATTCTATAAGATGGTAGTGAGACTTGCAATGCTTTATGCTGCACAATGTTGGCCATTAAAAGAGATGCATAATATTAAGTTAAGTTTTGCAGAGATGAGGATGCTTAGCTGGATGAGTGGCTATACTCTTAAAGATAGGATATGAAATGAGCATATACGTGAAAAGGTTGGAGTAGCTCCAGTGGAAGATAATATTAGAGAGAGTCGACTTAGATGGTTTGATCACATAAAACGACGGCCTTCCGATGAGCCGGTTAGGAAAGTAGATGTATTAGATTAGACTTATGTTAAGAAAGGTAGAGGTAGACCTAAAAAGATTTGGTTAGAAAATATTAGAAATGACATTTCTTTATTCGATTTAGATGAGAATTTGACCCTTAACATGACACAATGGAGAAAAAAGATTCATGTAGCCGACCCCACATATTGGGATAAAGGCCTGTTGTTGTTGTTGTTCTTGTTATTCAGATAGCTGAAAAGTATTAGATTGACTGTAACAAATAAAAAATTGTCATGTAAGTCCCAATGGATTAGATACAACCAGAATCGAATTGTCTAGTCTAGCCAATGATGTTGAATATATGTCACCATGAAGTCCTACTTGGACATGTAAGTTCAAAAATATTTAGCCATGCTTTGAGTTATGCTTCCTACTTTTCCTGGTTATTTTCTGCTGTTCACACTTTTGTTGAGTAACTGTTATTTATTTTGATGGTTATTTATGTGTTTTCTTCCCTCTGATTTATCTGTTTGCATATGCTCTTCCTACACCTTTTGTCCTGCTCGGATGAATAAACTCTTCCGTATGCTTTGCTAATTCGCTTTGATTATATAGCATGTATCAACACGTTTGCAAAGGGAAGGGAGCTCTTCTGACCCAGTCTTGAGAGGTCAGATTCAGAATGAAGCTATGCAATTAGGAGTTGCAATGCAGCATTTAGGTGCTTTGCTCTTAGAGCTTGGTCGCACAATAATGACACTTCGTATGGGGCAATCTCCAGTATGGTCCATTTTAACTGAGCTCATAATATTTGCACTCATTCTCTTACATGATTCAATCCATTCTATCTAACGTATATTTACTTTCATTCCAATTGGTTCAGGCTGAGTTTTCTGTGAATTCTGGACCTGCTGTTTATATATCTCCAATAGGGCCAAATCCAATAATGGTTCAGGTCAGTTGTTTTCCATCACGAGCTACCCATCCTTCTCTTATTCATTTCTGGATGTTACTGTGATTTATTTAATTATATTACTTTTCCTTTCATTTGCTTTTTCAGCCAAGCTCCCTATTTGGTGCACCTCCTCTCCCATTAGTCTCTGGATTATCAGTTGGAGCTTCTCCCGGAAATCCTTTGAGCAACATTAATATCCACTTACATGCTGGTAGGAAACTTTCTTTTTCCGTCTTTTTTTTTTTGGTCCTGATTAGGATATTGGCTGATGCCATTGGATGTCCAGGGAATTCCACAGCCCCTGGTGTATCCTCTACCGTTGGCATGACAAGTCCTGCTGAGACTATTCATGGAGATCGTCCGAGCACTGAACAAACAAGTTTAGGTATAAATGGTTCAAGTGATTCATCAACTTCCACAAGAGGATTACCTTTGAGAGCAGTGGTTTCTGCTACGCCAGCTCGAACTGTCCCAGAAGCCTCTGGTCATGTGTTCAGTGTTACATACCCTGTTCACATAAGGGCACAGCATTCCATCCCTATACAGTTTGCTTCTCCTCAAGGTGCTGGCTCGGCTCTAAGCGGAGCGGTCCCACCACCGTCTGTTTCTGTCCCAGCAATTGTAGCTCAGGTCACAGCGCGCATTGCAAGTGCACTAACTGGAAATGCGCAAGCACAAAGCTCATCTACTAGCACGCAGCCTATTGCTACTCAAGGCGCACATTCAGTTGTGAGTAGTGGGACACTATCTGACTTGTCTACTTCTGCACTACAAGCTCCTCAAATGAATATTAGCATCCTGCATACAACTCCACAGTCGAATATGCCGAGTAGTTCACTTCGTAGTGATTCTCAAGACCAAAATCCATCATCCCTGTCTGAAACTTCTCAGGAGTCGAGCAGTGGTGAAGAGAATGTGTTAGCTTGCCAGGAAGATCTTTATTCAGGTTCTGATGAAAAATTCAAAATTTAGCTATGTTAAATTGAGCTGCCCTGTTTTTATTGGTCATTCACTTCTTCAAGTTAAATTTGGAAAAAAAAAATAGGCAATGATGATGCAAGACGCAACTCAGTGAACACGGGGTTTCCTGAACATGGGAAGGGGACTGGTTCTGGGGAAAATTGTACTTCTGATCTCATTGGTTCTGGAAAAGAAGGGCAGCATGTCAGTTTTTACATGCAAGCATAATCTTCTTCTGTTTTTGTTTCTTTTTTGTTGATGATGTATGAAAATTAAGCTGCCTTGTTTTCTTTGTTTAGATTCAGTTAGAAGGCAATCAGATTAATAACTTGGGTTCTGGTATTAGTGTTGAAGAATCATCAACTCCGAGTTCATCCAAAGTTCTTGCTGACTGTCAATCTAGTTCATCAGATATTAGATCTTTTAATAGAGAACCAAAACCTGTTGAATTTCAGAAGCCACCCTCATCAAGCAGTCAAATAGAGAGCAATACACGTACTCCCTTGGGGCTAGGTTTTGGAGGTTTACGGGCTAAGGTACGAATTACAAACTGCTCTCATTGCTTCTAGATTTTTGCTAGTTTTTATGTGTAGTGATTTGCATCACCCATCAAATTTTATCATCTAGCTGTGTTATAATATATTCAAAACTTCACTTTTGCTTTATTAGAAGCGAAGTAAGCCGGTAAAGCCTAAAGGGAAGGATGATGGACAAGCTGAGGCATCTTCATCGGATCAAAGTCAACATTCTATTGGCAGGGTCCATGAAGCTGTTCTTTCTGTTCCATCTCAGATTTCAAATGTGGATGGGGGAAATAATAATGGGTCCTCCAGTCAACTTCCCTCTTTGATTTCTCAGTTTATGAATAGCATGCCTTCGGTAGGGCAAGATGGTAGCGGGCAAACTGATTTTGGTGGCATGATTGCTAATGCCATGCAAAGTTCTGCTTTCAACAATCTCTTGACTGGTGTAGCATCACAGTCTAGGGTTGCCAGTGGTGATCTGAGAAGCATGTTGTTGCAGTGCGTACAGAGCCCTGCAGTTCAAAACACTGTTAATCAACTTGTGGAAGAAGTAGGACAGAGCCAAAATAATGGAAATATACAGAGTACAGGACAAAACAGATTAGATTTTACAGGGATGATTCAGCAGATGCTACCTGTAGTATCCCAAGCTCTTGGTAGGTCATCAACACTCGCTGCTCCTGTACAGGACATGCAATCTGAGCGTCAGCCTAAATCCATTGATGTTAATAATCAGGTACACAAATTTCATCATCATCATCATTGTTGTGATAGCCTTATTCTAATTATTTGTTATTTGCCATTTGTAGTCTTGTCCATTCATTCCTGTTGAGTATTATATTATATGTGGAGTTTACTTTGCACAAAACCTTTTGCACAACTCGTAGCCCTCATTACTTCCACCTTAATTTTATATAATCATGTTAGTTTTTCTCTTTTTCCCTTCATTACTTTGACAATGAATTAGTTATGCTTCTCTTATATTTTCTTGAATAGGTTCTACTTATAATTTCTTTTCAATATAATTATTCCTCACTCTTTTTTCCTCAGTTTTACCATTCAACCTTTTGAAGCTTATCATTTATTCATCTCTTCCACAACAACTTGACTTTTAGGAATTTCTTCAGTTCCCAACACTTGAAATCATAGAACATATTTGATCTAATTGCATTTTGATAAATTTTATCTTTCCATAATATTCTTTCGCCTCATAGTGCCTGCTTCTCGTTTTAACAATTGAGTTTTAATCCTAGAAGCTATGTTATCATTGATCTCTCCTTGAATCTATATATATATATATATATATATATATATATTGCATAACATTAAACATTGTTGATTGGAGTCTTTGATTACTTATGAGATAACTCTTTAAAATGTTTCATGCTTGGTGATTCATATGCCTCTTTGCTTTATATTCTAAAAAAAGCATAATTGATAGCATTTTGTTTATATTATACATTTGCGGCCAAAGTTCTAGCGATCAATTTTAGTGAAATCTAGAACTCCACTACGAATTCCTTCCTTGCTTATCAAAGAACCAGGGAGTCCTCCCTTAAACTAAAAAAAAATCTGAAATCTTATTCTTATCTAGTAATTCTTATTTGCCAATGTAATGTTCTGGGTTTCTAGTGTCAATCCTAGACCTGTGGTTTCTGTTTAGTATTTCATTTCTATTGTCAATTTCATACTCACTATATATACTGTGATTATATTTTTTTTACTATTTTATTATATTTTATTGTATATATTTTTCTATGTTGGCTCATGTTTGTTCTATCTAGTAATTCTTGACAATAATTTGCTTTGATTTTTGAAATGTTTTGTTTATTCTCAACTGGATTTTAAACTTATTTTGTTTCATCTGTTAGGTTGATCTCAGTCAAGCTCTTGAAAAAATTGAGCAAGATGATGACCCTAGAAGTATTTTTAGAACATTGCTTGAAATAACTGGTGGTCACCTCTATGGAGAAGAAAATACTTACCAAGATATTGTTGAACTGGCGAATGATGAGGAACTGGCCCGTGTATGTATTTCTTTTATTGGCATTATATTACAATTGTTAAAAGATTTTCATTTTATAGAATCTTTGATCAACTGGATTTGCATCAATGAAAGTCAAGCTTTTCGACCTACCAGTTTTCTTGAACTAATACCATACATCTACTTATCCAAATAAATCATATTGCGTATACCAGTTGATGTAGCTCTTCTTTTTCTTTTTACCCCCGTTGGATCCTTTCCTATCTTTCTTGTGATCTGTAAACATTTGAATGTTTCTTCAACATTTTGGAGACTAATCCCATCTGATTAATGGCTGACTGTTAGGCCGGCCCAGGAGCGGCTTGCTGAACCGGTTGCTGCTTGCTGAACCGGTCCAACCTGGACCTAGGGGGGTGGAACCAAGGGAGAGGGGTGGATGGCCTAGTGGGCCCAAGCAATTAATTTAATGGGTGTTTAGGAGGGAAATTTGAATTATGGGCTGTTTAGGAATTTTGCATTTCTCCTTTTGCTTTAATTAGTGGCTAATACGGGAATTAGGCTTTCATCTTGAATTTGAAAGCGATTTGAGATTTAGGGTTTGTGTTCTTGGGTTCTAGGCTTTGCTAGAGAATTGAAGAGTTGTTTCTTCCTCCCGAATTGAAGAAACTTGTATCTTGTATTGTTTTCCTTATTTGTGGATTGACTAAGAAGTTTTCCTTGTGTTTCTCCAATATCCTGAAATTCCTGTATTGTTTTTGCTGTTTTCTCTCTGAAATCAGCAACTTTCTTGCTGTTTTCACCGATTATTGCTAGATTTGCTTGCAAACTCAAGTATTTCCCTTAGGGTTACTTGCGAACTCAAGTATTTCCTATCACTGACCTGATTGCTTCCTTTTTTGCTGTCCTGTTCTGATGAATTTAAGGTAAAAAGATGTTGAGAAATGCCCGAATTTTAAATTCCAAATTCGACATCTCTAGCACATCTGAACATGTCATATCTCTACAAGAAGTGACATAAATGATGTTACAGGAATTCATGGAGGTGCTGAAACGCGATATCAAACGCAGGCTGGAGGGAGAGTCCACATCAGAGGACAAGTCTTGAATAGGTTATTTGTGAATGAAATCCAGTTTGTCAAACTGGACTGGATGCTCTCTGCAGCCTAATACTACACTGGTCTCAGCTTCTGAAACAAATCTGGTAGGGGAATTTGTATTTTTTGAATAGAAATTACTCTCTGGTCGTCACTCTGATTTTTTTATTTCTTGTACATTCTAGAAACATAAGTGTAATGCACTACTATATGCAACTTCAACACTGAAAATAGTCTTTGATCCAAGATTATTATGCTTCTTAATGCTCTTTTTCTGTACTTCTATGCATGCTGTGGTGGTTTTCTTCTGAAATGTGTAAGTTGAGAGTTTATTTTAGTATAATTGTTGGTTTTTCGTATGTCCAATTGAATCAGGTGTTAATTTAGGCTTCGTTTGGGACAACTTTTTTATTGCTTATTGAAATAGCTTTTTAATACAAAAATTATAATATTTATACTAAAAAATTGCTTTAAGAAGCATTAAGAAAGCCGTCCCAAACGAACCCTTAATTACCTATGGTAAGTAGATTAACATAAGCCATATTGTAAGTAGTTTGCAGAGTCATGATATTGTATTTAGATGGTTTGGTCTTTTAATTCCATTGCGAAAATGAGTAAATTTGTCTGCAATAATGAGTAAATTGGTTTGCACAGAAGCTAATGTCAGGTTCTCCTTGTTCCAATGTGTTTTAGATGATACTATTAATATTCTGATAGCAATATATTTTTAATTGCAGTGCTATTTATAAAATATAGTATGATTTTAGTGATAATTTGATTTGTTGAAGAATGAATGCAGAGTAAATTGAAATATTGTGTATAAGGATTTTAATATATTTAAAATGTTTAGAGTTGTATGGAAGAATGTAACATAAATATAGGTGATTATTTATTTTGTTTGGTTTGAAGTTAAATGAATATAGTGTAAAACTTAATGATAGTAGTGTTCGTTGGTGCGATTGTAGTTAATGGTTGTGGGCATAAGCGGCGATCGGTGGAGGTAGCATGTTGCAGTGATGTGCGACGATCGGTCAAGGCGTCGTGTTGCAGTGATGTGAGGCTTCCGGCGATGACCGGTAGGTCGGCCATCGAATGGAGTAAGATTGTAATGCATTTGAAATTCAACAAAAAATTGGCTATGGAGTGAAATTGAAGTTTATTAAAATTTTACTTTAACATTCATTTTATTTTAAAATTTTACTCTACAAATACTTTTAGTTCATCATATTATGACACACTACTTTGATTCTTTTTCATTGATAGCTTTTTAAAAAGTCGATGGCTGTTAACACCAATATACTTTACAGCACTCAAAGCATGAGCAATCATATAAAAATGACTTATTATAATTAAGGGTTTGTTTAGGACATATTATTATTATTTTTTAAGTAATTTTTTTAGTATAAAAAATTTATTTTTTTACTATAAAACTTCTTAAAGAAGCAATAAGAAAGCCATCTTAAATGAAGTCTAAGGCTTAATTTGGAACGGCTTTTTTATTGCTTTCTAAAACGGAGTTTTAGTATAAAATTAAAAAATTTTGTACTTAAACTCCGTTTTAGAAAGAAATAAAAAAGCCGTCCCAAACGAAGCCTAAGGTTACGTTTGGGAGGGTTTTTTTATTGCTCCTTAAAACAACTTTCTATTATAAAAATTTAACTTTTTGTATTAAAAAATAGTAGCCGAAGGCTTTGTTTGAGATGACTTTTTTTCTTCTTCTTAAAGCAGCTTTTCAGTATAAAAATTAAAAATTTTGTATTAAAAAATTATTTTAAGAAACAGGAAAAAAAGTTGTCCTAAATGAAGCCTAAATCTTTGTCATTCTCTAATCTACCTTTTAGGTCTTATGATTTACATTCATTTCTTTTGGTTGTGGTGGTCTTAGGTTCATCTGTTTTATCAATGAATCTTCTCTTTTTAGCTTGGTCTAGTTGATTAGTTTATAGGATAGCCTTGCTGTACTGTACCTCTTCAGGATCCCTTAACTAATTAGCTGTGGTTGGAGATCTGCTCGACAAGAAAAATTATGTACTAACAGTTTTGGCCAGTAATCAGTGCTCGAATCCACATTAACTAATCACCAAGCAACATGCTTTACTAACAGTCTTTGGCCAAAATTACTGCACAAATCTACATTAAAAGATTTAGATACTTGGTTTTCTCCACGAGCGTCTTATTCATTCTTTCTGTCAACTTACACAGCTCATTTTGATCTGTTGGTAGAGAGCTTAGGCTTCCAACTAAGAACTCTTGGGTTCGAATCTTTGTGTATGTATTGTATATATGAGTTCGCCTTAAGTGATCTAAATGTCCCTAATTTTTTTTTTTTTATGTTAAGCTTAGAAGTGCTAGTTATAAAATTTTCGCTATTTGTACTCTCTTTATGACAATTTTTTATAAAACTCATAGGAAAAGAAAATTTAAGCTATTATCAATTCCAAATGTCTTAGGCTTCGTTAGGAATGACTTTTTTACAGTTTCTTAAAATAATTTTTTAATATAAAAATTAAAATTTTTGTACTATAAAGCTTCTTTAAGAAGCAGTAAAAAAGTCATCTCAAATGATGTCTTAGACTTCGTTTGGGACAACTTTCTTATTATTTATTAAAGCAGTTTTCTAGTATAATTTTTTTTAACTGAGAATTTTGTGTTATAAAAAGTTGCTTTTAAAAAGCAATAAAAAAATTGTCCCAAACGAGACCTTAGTCTTCGTTTCAGATAGCTTTTAGCTACTATTGTTTTGTTGTTTTTAAGAATTTTTTTTTACTAAAAATTACCTTTAGAAAATAATAAAAAATTTGTTCTAAATAAAGCTTTAATTTATTATATTTTAGCTTCTTACTTGATCTTTCTCTTCTTAAACATACAAAATATATCTCTTTTCTACTTGAACATTTGGAGAAATTGCTTATAGACATAAGAACATTGTTAAAAATATTTTAGTAAAACTGAATATAGTTTAAAGTATTTTTTACTAAAAATATAATGTTCATAAAATTCTAAAGCTCTCAACTACTGACCATAAAGCTAAGTATAATAGGCATTGCTTGACATGTGCTTAATCCTCATATATCATAATCCAAGTAAATCAGTAGAAAATGAAGCTTAGTAAGTAGAGAGATTGCTATTTTTTATTTAGGTTTTGTTTGTAACGACTTTATTACGAATTTGTAAAGCAGTTTTTTAGTGTGTATATATATACCTATATGTATATATATTAGAAGTTTTTTTACTAAAAAGCGGTTTCATTTGGGACGGCTTTCTTACTGCTTCTTAAAGTAGCTTTTTATTACAAAAAAAATTTAATTTTTCTACTAAAAAGCATCTTTAAGCGGTGATCAAACGAAGCCTTAATCTTCATTAAAAATTATAAACCTTTGGGAATTTATAAAATTATGCCTTTGCACTGAATATGGCATCCAAACCACTTAAACTATGAGATCTTTAAAGCTAGCATATCTCTGACCTCTTACAAAAGCTTAACTGCTCCATTATATCTTGATCTAAATTGTGGATATTCCAACTATCTCATTTGTCATATCTTTGCCAAAAAGACAGTTCCATCATCAATACATCTATAAGAGAAGATTTATGCTTCGTTTGGGACGGCTTTAAGAAGCAGTAAGAAAACCGTCCCAGACGAAGCCTTAATTCTTATGAGGGTTCATATGATGTAAGCAAATATTTAATTTAAAATCAGAGATAAATTTCAAAATAGTCTCTCGATTATTTGTATATGGCTAATTTAGTTTCAAAGTATCTAAATTTGCTACTTACGAATAATATGAGAATTATTTGGAGTTGCGTGATACTTTGGATTAATTATTCTGTGCGGATGCCGAACGTCATCCGAAGACCAATTAGAATGTGCCATGTTACCCCTTTGCTCAGTACCCCAGCTCGGTGCTGCTCAGTACCACGGCTCGGTGCCGCTAACGTGACGCATTCTGGTTGGTATCCGGACGACGTTCTGCATTCGGTCTACGCACGTAATAATTTTTTGAAACTTTGGGACTAAATTTATCATTTATGAATAATATGAGGATTATCTTGAAGTAATGAGATACTTTGGAGCTAAATTGGTGATAACACGAGGATTAATTTGGAAAATTTTAAAAATTTATAAGCCAATTTCACTTAAATTAGGGTTAATTTTTATAGTCTATTGGTAGGCTTAGCTCGCATTTAGATTAAATTTAATGATTTTGAGTCGATCCAAAATGTGATTAGTTCCAATATAAATTGATCAAAACCTTAAAAATTGATGAGATCTCTATTCCTATGGACCTTCTCCATTTTATCTGTTTGGTTTTGAAGGAATTAGAAGGAAGCAAATCAAAAGGAAATGAAGTATTAGTGATAAAATGAATTGAATTAAATTTTTTATTTCTTGGTAGAAAATGATATTACAGTCATAATTATGATGTTATAAATTTTTATATAATTTAGTAGAAATAGATAGAGAATTATCATAAAAAATATCTTATTCATATTTTTATTAAATTTACTCTTCTATTAATTAAATTTAAATTAAAAAATATATATAATTTATAAATTAAAATGCATTTGTATTCCTTTCTATGCATTTGTACAACTTTCTTACTGCTTCTTAAAACAATTTTTTAATAAAAAATTATAATTTTTATACTAAAAATTTGCTTTCAGAAACAGTAAGAAAGTCATCCCAAACGAAACCTGAAAAAGAAAGTGCGAGCTTAAGAAATGCAAACATGCAAAGAATATAAATTGCTTTGCTGAGTAATAAAATTAATAGGAAAGCTTAAGAGAACTGTGAGAGCATGGTTGGTCAAGTGTTTGAACATGGCTTTCAGATTAGATTAATAATCATGTGATTTTTATAAGTATAAATAGCAAGTGGTATCAAGGCATGTGAAAGTGTGATTAGTTTCATATTAAATAGATGATAAATATGTTATTGTGGAAATGCAGAGGGACTCGATTGATGATCATGATTGATATTTTTTATGCGAAAATCACTTTGTTAGACCATTTCCAACCGAACTCCATACCACCATATGCCGTTCGTGTGCCATTTTCTCCATTCGAACTCCAAATCGCACACCAAATTTCATTATATGAACAGTGTGACGTCAATATTGGTGTCGAACTGTTCACCTACGCCAAAAAAATTCGCTGCGGGATTTGTCAAAGATGCGTGCAAAAGATGAGAAAAGCGTGCCAAAAATGACGACATTTGTAGGAAGCGCGCGAAATAAGAAGAAAAGTCATTCGAATGGAAAAGAATGACTGTATTTTGA